AAAGATAAATTCTATTCACATCTTTATTATACTGACATGTTCTGTAGTGTATTATACATAATTAAAAATCTTTACTACAATGTGGACACGAAATAATGACATAATCAAACGGCTATAACGACAAAATAATAAATTCTCTTTGAAATTTTTAAGCACATTATGTACTGATTTTATAAGTGAAATATTCCATGCCATGTTTTTTGTTTCAAGTTAAAATTTATATAAATATATATATATATATATATGTATATATATAAAGCTATATCTTCTTTTGTATATGTGTACACGTGCGTTCGCTTACTTAAAGCTACAGTAATCTAGCGCGTTTGTACATCTAGTGTGTTATTTCTAATCTAATCGCATTTACGTAATAATATTGTAGGCAGTAGAGCGAGAGAACACTTTTTTCTTGACGACGCACAGAGAATTATTAGTTTAATATTCTTCGATTTCTGATTAATCAACACTGATAAAATATTTATTATTAGAATTATTTTATATATATATAAATTTTCTTGATTGATGAGAAAAACAAAGCATTCAATAAATGCATTGAGAGTATGAAATTAACGAAGATGTTATAAGCTGGCAGTCGTAAAGAGTAATTATCATTTGTAAAATAATATATTTATTATCTGGCAGCTAAATAATGTAATTTATGCATGCGAGTGAACACAAAAGGTCAAGGAAGGCGCTCCTCCTTCTCAATCATTGCTATACTTAAAAATTCCAAACTTTCCGAGAATAGGATGTTCTGTTATTCGTCCTTAGCTTTTATTATCCGTTATTATCTTGTATTTCTCTCTTATACGTACGTTGGTGTTTTTAATACTTCGCCGTAGCTCAAAATAATTTCGCAAAATTGACTAAGAGAAAGCGTTACGCAGTGTTGGGCAGTGGTCTTCTCAAATAATTCGATTATCCCGAATCTTTTTCCCGATGTTATTCCGTGACTATGAGATGGATTGCAAACGTTAGCGGTCTTTCCCATTCCGTTCTCGTTGCAGTCACATTCTTGGATCGACCGTGAATGACTATATGAAATTCTCCTGGTGTTTTCAATCGGTGCCGAAAGTGTAGAGCGGAAATGCCATGTTCCCTAATGATCTCAAAGTGCCCGTCTTTGTTGCCCCGTGTGATGGTGTAGTCCACATCCTCGCCCTGTGACATGATAATGATATGAGTTGCCAATTATTTTAGTGAATCATTTTTGAAAGACAAGACGCGCCTTGACGATATATTGGATTTATATATGTTGGACAATTTTTTATTATCTTCACTATATAAAAATGCTGAAGTAGATGCCGAAGAGGTTAAGACCGTTTATATCCAAAATGCCTTTTTTTCATTCATTAAAGAAATCTGTCACATTTCAAAATTTTGTATATAGATTGTCAAGTCATGGTAAAAACTATGAAGAAAGCTTTTTCTTTATAAATTTTTTAATAAATAAATCTTTTTGTAATGTTTGTTTATGTAAAATGTATTTTTTTTCCCTAGAATATATGGAAACTATCATGAAAAGTATAGTCGAATAACTTATGGCAAGCGATTTAACGCATTCTTATTTTCTCATATGCAAAGATTATAGAGACTTTTTTTAAAATAAAATATATTTAAAATTGATCGAAGTTAAGTTAAATTACCTGGATGGCAGATTGCAGCTTGATAATCCGCGTGCGATGTCTTGTTTGACGCAAATTGATTTTAAGCAAGTGTTCTGTTCCGTGATGATGCCTCTTCCGCCTAACGTTTCGAAGTTTCTTCTTTATCTCATTCCTCTTCGCTCTGATTCCTCCACCTACTGATCTGTTCCTGGCACCTCTTCTGTATCGCTCTTTTCCATTTATCTAATTCAAAAATTTATGTTATTTCATTATCGTGATAAGAAGGAAATAGATGCATACCTTGCAGGAGAAACAGCCTTCCGTGGAAATTATCTTATCGTCGGCTGGCGGTATATGATAAGGATCGGGATTGATTTGGAAAGTTGGCACATTACCGATGTCCTCATCGTAGCGTCCTTGATGCGATGGATTAATGGTAGACAAACAATGACCCTATAATGAATATCTCAATCTTATTAAATTTTAAAAATAAAAATTCAAGACTTTTTCTTATTCTGATTGATATAATTGGGAAACAGACCTGTCCTATTCGTTGATAACCAGTTGGGCAGCCACAAATAAATCCATTAGCCCCATTAGGAGTACATCCAAAAGCACATGGACTACCAAGACAGCCAGCGCTTACCTTTAGAGAATTTAAAACAGAAATGAAAAATGAATATATATATATTTTTTTTTCTTAAAAGAGGCTTTATTCAAAAGAAGAATATAATAAAACAGGTATAATTTTGAATGTATTGAAAAAGAAATTGAAAAATGTACCTGAATACAAATGGCTAAATTGTTGTCAAATTGATAACCGTCAGGACAGCCACATTTGTAACTGCCAATTGTATTAATGCAAGTGCTGTCGCCGCATGGTGAAGTATTACATTCATTTTCGTCTATGCACTGACTATGGTATAAATGTTGTACAAAACCGTCCGGACACCCACAGCGATAACTCCCCATGAGGTTCTAAAAATCAGGATCTTATAACTTTTCTTATAATTCTCTGTATAGCTCTTCTTATAGCTTTCTCTAATGCTACTAACTTTCTTTTTCCAAAGTTCTCCAAAATTTTTTATTAAATAGCAGTTACCTGACAACCATGCTCACAATTAGCATCATCGCTACATTCATTGTGATCTGTACAAAATCGTCCGGTATGATCAAGTTTGAATCCTCTGGGGCAAATACATTGAAAACTACCTAATGTATTAATACATTTGCCAGGTTTCGGGCATATACCTGGTTGATCACATTCATTTATATCTGGAAAAAACATTGCGAAAATAAGTGAGATTATAAACTATTTATTAAAAGCGTATCTTATAGTAAAAGCATTTACTAGAGATGTATTAGAGATGTGCGAAGAATTTTTGACGATGAATCGGATCTCATTTTTTTCAATTCCAAATCGACAAAATTTCACTCGACTTGAGTCAAATTAAATAATATAACTATAATCAAATTAAATGCAACTTTTTTAATTAACAACGTAATTATTGTCGTACATTATGTATACATATGTGTGAAACGGAATGTACCTTTGCTTGATTGTGAAAAAAATAATTTTTAACGAGAAATATAATTTATAAGATTATCAAAAAATATATGTATTTGAAAATTGTTAGATTCGAAATTTTTTAATAGCTCAGATTCGAATTATAGAAATTTAAGTCCGAATTGAATCGATTCGATTTGTATTTGAATAGTTGGCACATTTTTATAATACGTATAAATTCCTACATATGTATTAATTTTTAAATAACAAAGTAACAAATTGAAAAAGGCATAACCGTGGCATGCGTCTCCTTGTTGGATGTAGCCCTCCTGACAATCGCAAGTGTAACTTCCCGGAGTATTTATGCAATTTTGCTGGCACAGATGATTTCCCGTTGCGCATTCGTCCAAATCTCTGCAGCTGATACCGTCGGGATTTAGGATGAAACCCGATGGACATGAGCAGATAAAGCTACCCTCGGTGTTCTGACAGTTATACTTGCACGGTTTCGGCGTAAGTTCGCACTCATTAATGTCTGCAATTCCAATTCGTTATTCATTGTCACAAAGCTGCTTATTTATTAAGCTTAAGAGGATGCTGCACTGTTCTGTTTTACTAAACATATATTTCATATTTCTCTAATTTCTTCGCTTTTTTTAATTTAAATAAAAAATCCCTTTCCAGAATAAGAGAAAATGTCAAAATAAATATGGATAGCTATAAAACAATATAAAAAAAAAAAAAAAAAAACAAGAAAAATTTCTATATTGTAATTTCCTGTTATCACCTATTTATTCACTTGATATAAATAATACCAAGTATATATTCAAACAGAATCTAACCATCTATATTTATTCAATATATAAGAATATTTTAGGACTTCCATTAAGACTTCCATTTAAGACTTCCTATAAGCTTCCAAAATATGATTTGGAAGCTTATAGGAGAAATGAACAGAGAAGAGACTGTCTGAGTGCTAGTACACTATCATTTATCTAAAGTTTACCAGGTAGGTTTCATATGTGTGCAGAAATATATATGAGTGTATGTATGTACCTCTGTGAACCTGGTATCCGACTTTCGAAAAATTAACTTTTTTATATGAAAACAGTTAGTATTTTGTTTGTAGTTGTTTGTAGTAACGATAATTTCGTTTGTAGTTCAATCCATTAAAAGATTGATCAAAATTTAAAAAAATGACTTGCACCCGACATTAAAATATTTTACATCCGCTTGCGCAGTCTTTTTTAGAATCGTTTGTAGTTGTTTGTAATATTTTTAGTTTTGTTTGTAGTCAAACTGTTCAAAAGTTATAACAATTTAAACAAATGCCAAAGAGTGAATTTTGTCATTTTTTAAGATAGCGCAAATCTGCTTGTGCAGTCTTTTTTAAAATCGTTTGTAGTTGTTTGTAGTGCTTTTCGTTTTATTTGTAGTCGAACTGTTCAAAAGTTATAACAATTTTTTTCGTGACAAATCTGTATTCATTTTATTTTGTTGCTAATAATAATATTACTACATTTATAATTATTAAGACAATATAAGACAATATAAGCAAAAGTTTATTTTCGTTAGATATAAAAACAAATTCTTTTTTATGTTTCAATTACAAATATTTTTTAAGTTTTATTGAGGACAACTTTTCCCCATGACAAATCTGCGTTCATTTTTTTTTCAATTTTTTCTTGGCTAATATCAATATTGCTACATTTATAATTACTTAGACAATATAAGCACTGCGCAAGTAGATTTGCGCTATCTTAAAAAAATGACAAACTTCATTCTTGGCCATTTATTTAAATTATTATAACTTTCAAACAGTTCGTCCATAAACGAAACGAAAAGCATTACAAACAACTACAAACGATTCTAAAAAAGACTGCGCAAGCGGATTTAAAATATCTCAATGTCGAGTGTAAGTCATTTTTTTTAAATTTTGATATTTCTTTTAATTCTTTTAACTACAAACGAAATTATTGTTATTACAAATAACTATAAACAAAATACTGTTTTCATATACAAAAAAGATATGCCAGGTTTACAGAGATTATGTATGTGTCGTAAATATACTCATGTTTAGATGTGTATATGTGTGAAACGCTTTCGGAATTCGCTCGTCAGTCCAGCAGTTTCTCTTAAACGGTTGAAGAAACTTACCGATACATTGAATGCCAGATTTATCAGCCTTGTAACCTTTATTGCAAATGCATCTGTAAGAGCCGAGGGTATTGATGCAAAGGCCATTCTTGCACAGATCGGGTATGGTTTTGCATTCGTCGATATCTAAAAATTTATATCATTCTAGAGGACAGTTCAAAATTTTTGTAAAAAAAATTATCGCAATCATCATCGATATTTCCAGTTTTTTAACATGAAAATTCAGAGACCGAATGACAATTGGCGCATTTCAAAGGCATAAAGAAATTAGAAATTTTGTAAGTTTTTAAAAATTTGCAAAAAGTTATTAGATACAAGATTCTCGCTTGAATAATTAAAAGTGTCAATATTTATTTATATTTTATGAGATAGGGTAATGTGTTATTGCCTTGTCCATTTACAGAGAATCCTTTATCCAGACAGAGTTCGTTATAATTGTCGGAATCTCTGGACGGACAAATCTCGCAATGTGGCCCCCATGCCGCTCCCATGGTGCAACAACAATCCGCTTTGGTGACCGTACGCAATTCCGTAGTTCTGGCAGTACATCTACCGCCAATTGTTTGCAGGAAGCAATAGCCGACTCTTCGATCTAATCATATGGAAAATACGAGTATATTTTCTGTCCTCAGTATTTTAATCGAGATATTTAATAATTCTTCCCATTATATTGAGTTTTGCACTACTTTTTTTTTGTCTCGTACCGATACATGACTTTCCATCCGCGCTTTGTTCGAAGCCATCGTAGCAGAGGCACTGATAGCTTCCTTCCAAGTTAACACAACGGCCGTGTTGACAAAGGCCGGAATTAATAGCACATTCGTTGATATCCTTGCACTCGTCCGCTGTTCCTATCTTTTGATAACCAGGCGGGCAAATACACATAAAAGTGCCGATCAGATTTTTACACTGAAACCTGCAGTCGTTCGCCGGCGTCACGCATTCGTCGACGTCTGGAAATGAAAATTTATAATTTAATTTAATTTAATTTTTTTCATTTTTATATTAACCAGAATTTATCGAATTAGAAAATATGCAGTATAAGCCCTTTTTATAATTTTGTAAATTTGTATATTTTTATGCGTAGATATATTCTGAAATCGCCGCTTAAGTCCCGTTTTTTTTTTAAATTAAATTTTAATGTTTTTGATATCGGTAAATCAGAAAACGATAATTTAATAATATTTTGGAGGAAATTGGGTAAAGGGTATTAATTACTATCATCAAATTTTATCGTAGAGAATAGGAAATTAAAAATAAAGAAAGGATGCGGTTCAGCGCTTAGTTCGTTATTTATTTATAAACATTATTACAATATGTACAAAGCAATTAAAAATGAAAGTATATGTGATTCGAGATGTGTGTGTGTGTGTGTGTGTGTGGGGGGAGGGGATCAGTGAGTGATTACTGCGTGATGTGTAAGAATGCTCTCGTGTGAATGTGTGAATGTCTTGCCGATGAGGAGCCACTGTTGAATATGATCTCACGATCTTTTCTCTCTTTACAGCCGAGAGGACCTGAGAGAATGTTCCCTTGCGAGAGAATTTGTGACCCACCAAGGCTGGTGGGCGCGAGAGGGTATTAGCCATGCTAACGCGGGAAGAGAAGTGCTAGTCGCTCCTTTTGACGCTATTTGGCTCCTTGTTTCCTGCCTCGCTGCCTGCGTATGTTCGGCGGATGTTCCGGTGGGATCCCAGTGATCGGAATTAGTTTCCATACCGGTTGAGGAGACATCTTCTGTTGGAGCTCCTGTAATGGGAAGCGGATCTCGAGATGCTTCCCTGGTGTAGGTGATCGATTGAGACGCTGTGATGAAGACTGTGTGGTTGTCCGCCGTGAATTTCTCCGTGGAGGAGGTCCTTCTTTTTTTAGAAACGGCCGAGGAAGATGATGAGAAAGCCGAGGAGGTCCTTCTTTTTTTAGAAACGGCCGAGGAAGATGATGAGAAAGCCGAGGAGGCGCTAGAGCTTGATACCGATAAGGCCGATGAGGAAGAGGAAGCGGACGACGATGACGATGTCGAAGATGAAGACAAAGACGATGACGATGAAGCAGACGGCGACGTCGTTCGCCTTCGTTTTCCTGGTCGCATCGGCCGGCTGGGCCGACGGATCGTAGGGTTCCAGTCGCTCGGATACGTTGTGACTTCCTGGGATACGATGTTTTGGTCCTCGTTTCTTCCGTAATCGAAAAGAGTCCCGAGAGCGGACCTTGCGATCGAAAGGAGTGGCCCTTGTGGTCGAAAAAAGAAGACCTTGCGATCGAAAGAAGCGGACCTTGCGGTCGAGATGTCCTGGACGTCTAAATTATGCATTTGCACGCACTATCTCGACGCTTCCTTAAATATTCCACGTGTCCGTATTCTGAATGCGTGAAAGCTCAGCGATAGAATCAAGCGACGCCTAGCGGCGAGCGCCGCTCTCCCCGAAGCTAGGCGTGGGGGATGTGTGTCAGTGGCGTAGCGCGCGATGGATTGCGCCCCGCCATAATATAATGTGATTGCGTATGCTCATTTAATAGTTGGGCTAAATAAATGGGATATTGGATTGAATAAATTAATAATAATTCTTGGCTTGTTTGCGTTTAAATATGCAAAATTAAATAATATCATCCGATTATGATCAGTCAAATTGCGACCCCAAAACATTTTACGAATAAATTTTGGCCATATATTAGCATCACTAACTACGTCTTGAACAGTAAGCCAAGGATTATTATTAATTTGTATAACTGAATATCCCATTTTATACTTAATTTACCATTTAATTCATAAATATATTTTTAATTAATTAAAGCAGAGAATATTTGTTTAATTTTTAAAAAGCATGCATAGAAAAATGGAATATTTCATGAGTATGCGCAGTCACATTATATTATTAAATTATCATTTTATGATTTACCAATATCAAAAAACTTTAAAATTTAATTTTAAAAAAATGGAACTTGAGCAACAATGTTACTTCAGAATATATTCTACGCATAAAAATATACAAATTTACAAAATTACAAGAAAATCGGAGGACGCGGTCGTTATGCATGTTTACAAAATTAATTTAAAACTTTCGTTTAATTTAATTTAACTTAATTAATTTTTGTTATTTTAAAAAAGTTATTATAAAAACGCTGCTAAAATCGCAGAAAAAATTTGTCATGTTTATGGAGAGGATACTTTAATTAGATAAATAGCAGCGAATTGATTTCAAGATGGAAATTTCGATGTCAAAGATGCACATCGTTCTGGTCGGCTTACTGTGAAAAATGTCAATAAAATCTTCTAAAAAATTGAAGAAAATCGTCATGTGAGCAGCTATGAGATAGCTAAGGAGCTGAATGTTGATCATAAGACCGTTTGCATAAAGCTTGCGTAAAGCTGAACATTACATTACATAAAGAAGCTCAACTTTGAGTGCCACATAATTTGACGATAAAAATTTAATAGATCAAATTTCCATTTGCGAATCGCTGCTAAAAAACAAAATTGAGCCTTTTCTGAAAAGATTGATAACGGACAATGGAAAAATGGATAACATATGATAATAATATTCGAAAAAGATCATAGTCGAAATGAGGTGAGACACCATAAACATTTGCAAAGTCCAAATTGACGCCAAAAAAGATAATACTGTGTGTCTAGTGTCTGGGATTGAAAAGGAATCGTTTATTATAAACTGCTGCCATTAGGTAAAACGATTGATTCTGCTCTCTATTGTCAACAATTAATGCGATTGGAGTAATTCATTCAGAAAAAGTGGCCAGAATTGAATAGAAAAGGCGTTGTCTTTCATCATGCAGCAACGCTAGGCCATATACATCTTTGATAACTCAACAAAAATTAAGAGGCTTGGCTGGGAAGTCTTGATGCATCCACCATATAGTCCTGAACTTGTCCATTTCGGTCTTTGCAGAACTTTCTTAATGAAGTAAACTTAACTTGAAAAGAGGCCTGAGAAAACCATTTGTCTCAATTTTTTTATCGAAAAATCTCAGAAGTTCTACATCGATGGAATAACAGCTATATCCGAAAAATGATAACAGGTCACCGACGGTACCAAAACGGTACATATTTGGTTTAATAAAAAGTTTGTGAACAATTTAAAAAATATATTTTAATTATGCTCCAGCTTGTAAAAAGATGTCTTCCCTAACCCAATATTTAAAGTTAAATATTTAAAAACGGTAATTTTTAATTACCTATGCAATGACGGCCATCGGGTGCCAGGGTATACCCGTACGGACAGATACATCGGAAAGAGCCTGGTGCGTTGTGGCATCGGAAAGCACATTGATTACCTAGCTCCAAGCATTCGTTCACGTCTTCACAGACTTGATGGGCTCCGGGTGCGTATCCATCGTTGCAGGAGCATTCGAAACCACCGTCGATGTTGCGACAAGTACCATTGCCGCAGATATTCTGCACACTCAGGCACTCGTCGTTATCTACGCATCGCCTTCCAGTTTCGTCTAACACATATCCAGTAGGGCATTCGCATCGGAATGAGCCGTCCGTGTTGATACATTCGCCGCCGAGACAGGCGTCGGGCATAAACAGGCATTCATTCAGATCAATTCCGGCATCATCTCGCCCCGGCCCTTCCGGGCACATCCTCTTGAATTCCTCTGGATAAACATAATTATTCATGCATGATTTTGTTTATCAAATTATACCCCAACAGACACAGATATATAATAACAACATTGCTGAAATATAACAAAATGTAACATGCAATATATGTTATATATGTAATATACATTCACTTTTAAA